GACTTGTGAAAGTGGAGAGATTTTTGGAATCCTCTTAAAAGCTTGCACAATTCACAATCAGTTCATGAAGATGCGGAGACTGAAACAGCTGGTTATTGTTGTAGGTTCTCGTGTTCTTTTGTCTATCAAGATGGAGGAAGGATCCCAGGAAGAATACACAACTGAAAATGACATTGGAAACATCTGTTCATAGCATAGTAGTCAGTGCTACTGATGAAGTGTTAAGTGAGGTGATGCACCTCCGTAGCAGTGCCCATGGCACAGCTGCCTGGTCACAAATCTCTTAAAAGCATCAAGCACGGTGACCAAGCAGTGTAACTTCCTTGTGAAATATGCTAGGCTGTTTAACGGGCTTTTGACATTTGAGCAACACCAGAACAAAGTTCTCCTTGAGGTTCAGTTCTCCCCCGGGACTACCACTCCTCAGCTTTGTCCCTCTGCTTTCACTGGAATGAAGCTTCTCTGGATTCGCTTAAATGCTTTGAAAGGGTTATTTAACGATGAAGTGTCAAGAAAGCCGTCTGGGCATCATGGCGAGGGCTTGCATCTTGGGATGATGGCATCAGGCGCTTACAAAAGGCTGCTTCTGCAGTCCATTCGATTCCTGTCGCTTCTCCTTCAGCTCTTGCCATGTTCATTTCTGTACACTGAATTGCTGAAGCCCCCTGCGCCTCTGACAGTCATTCCTGCAAGGCAGCAAAATAGACTGCAAATACCATGGAACAGCATAAAGTTTCGATGCCAGATTTAAAACCAAATTCCCAACCAATTGAACAATGTAAGCAAGGCGAGTGCATCTAGGCATATTAAGAGGAAACACGCACCCGTGAGCAGCGCAGCCCCGCGGCACACTGAGTGGTGGCAAGTTTGTGGGGTAGTTCCTTCCCGTTGAGTGCCAGAAACACCGTGGGATGTGTGCCTCTGTTTGTAGTCTATTCACAGGGCACGAGGTCCCACTTCACAAACTGGGATCAGCCAACTTCGGCGCAGTGATGATGTGAGAGAGACCTATGTTAACCTAATTCGTTTGTTTAATATGTTTCTATATCATCTGTTATTTTTACAAAAAAATCTCCAGGCTGTTTACAACCGTGGCAAGAGCAAAATTTGAACCAGGGACTTCCTGATTCCCTCAGCTACTAGTAGCACATTCACATCTACATAGAAGGATCTTCCCACCAGGAATTTTCAGTGCCACATCGTTCTCCTGTTGTATGTTCTATTGCAAATACCGCGAAGCCGCTTCATGCCATTTCCCTGGCTTGCATTCTAAAAACATGAAACTCCTTGACTGGTAAATAAGTCCTCTTTCGAGATTTTAAAAAGACAACAGTGAAAGCAGCTTGATTTGAACAGCGCTGTTGGAGCGGATAAAGAATGCAAGACTGGGAGCTTAGGACTTGCTCAGATACACATACGTTATTTTGTTCTTGGGTGTTTTAATGAGAAATCTTCCCCTCTCATATCCCTCATGTCATTTCTCCTCTTAAAACTCAAATGAGGCCAGAAAGAAAGGAGGGAGGCAAAATCCTCTCCAAATAAAAAAATTAAAGAAAAATTGAAACCAACCAGAAAACCCTTAATCCATTAGAAGCATCCAAAATAAGCTGTCAGCCTTAGCCAAGCTCAGATCTCCTCCCGCACAAGAATATGTTTAATGCACGTATCAGGGAGTTTGTGACATTGTGGTATTGCGAGAGAAGAAGAAAATGAGATGGTATTATGCTTTTTCTTTTCCTTCCCCCAAGGCTGGTAACGTATCCATCGCCTGATGAGCATTTTTTTTAAAGTGTATAAATGAGGGGGATTAGCCACCCTGTTTGTAAATGATCCCGCATGCCGGAGAGGCGCGCAGGCCAGCATTTGGGGCCCTCTTCCCCTGTACCGCCACCCCCCAAGATGTTCATCGTGGGAGGGAAGCAAAATGAGTCGCCTTTCCTCTTCTGCATTACCCTGTGGCTTAATCAGTGCTGACCTCAGCCCTCAGGCCGACCAGAATTAGGTGTAAGATAACATGGACATCTGGACGTAACATCTGCAGCGCCTCATGTGCCGCACGGCGAAGGAGGAAGGAGTCTCACAGAGCTGCTCAGCTGTACGCAGATGGCTCTAGCTCTCTGCGGACCGCCTGTGCTGGGGGACTTGGAGGGAAGCCGCCTCGCATCCCCGGGCATCTCTCACACTGGGATCCTGTGCGGAGAGGCGTTAACGTGTGTAGGACTCGTCCAAGCAGCAGCGGGTGACTTTCTCTCGGATTCCTCCCATGGTGGCTTCTGTCTGAACATGCTGCAAGGCCGCTGGCCTGATTCCAGTCCCCTGCCACCCACAGACCTTGCACAGCGCCTGCATGGCAGTGCCGTGCACCTGAGCCCCTGTTCACAATCGCACTGCCCCCTTTTGCCGGTAGACGCTTTTAGCTGTGACCCGTGTGTAATCCGTTACAATAACCCCAGCGAGTGCTTGCCAGTTGACTGCAGCCGGGATATTTCTGTCTGGATTGGGTCGTTGTTGGCCTATCCACCTAAGCTGGGGAAGCGTTGTGCGGTGCCACGGAAGGCACCATGCCGCCAATGACAGTGCCGGTGACGCAAGGATCACCAGGCACAAACATGATCCTTTTGGGAGTCCCCCGGACAGGTCGGACACCACAAAACTGGGCAACTGGGCCACTCACAGTGGGTCCATCCTGTTGGTATTGAGTCTCGGTTTATGGGACTCCATCCAGCCAATGCCACACCCCAAGCACGCAGTTTTCTAGGAGGCAACAATCCTGCAAGCCTGAGGGCTGCGTTGAAAGTTTCCTGGTGTTCTGCTGGTCCTTTCTGCACGTCCTGGAAAACATCGTCCTGCTTTGCGCGAAGTGTAATGGTCCCCACTGCCTGATGCTCCCACCAGGCTGTTTCCAGATTAGCCAGAAATTGAAAGCTCGGTGACTGACACAAGTGACAAATCTCAAACCAAGAATAACCCCATTTCATGCTTCTGGATTGCAAAGGAAGAGACAAGCCAAGAACTGAGTCCCGGTTAGCTTAGCCTCTCCTGCTGGCTGGAAGAGACACGTGCGAGAAGTCCGGCTTGTGTACAGGACTGTGAACGCTAAGCCAGGATTCTCCAGAACTACATTATTCTACACTGGCTTCCTTCCCCATGTTCTTACTGTTCTTTAAGTGAGGTATTTCTTGATTCCCTCTTTGCTTCGGATGGAAATACAGCCTAGCTGACCAATTGTCTGAGGACTTTTGACTCTAGGAAAGGAAGTTGATATTGTTGTATTTAAAGGACGGCGCAGCTCCTGGCCAAATTCGTGACTGTGCTGAGTTCACTGCGCAATTTCTTTGCTAGAGCAGAACAGATTCAATTTGTGGAATGTTTCAGTGTACCAGACTTGACAATGTTGGAACTGTATCAGCACACTTGTAGAATCCCCTTTCCAATTTATTTTTGAGTTTGCACATGAAAAATGCAGTACTTCTGTTTTCATTCATACCTCCACAAAATTGGTTTTGTTTTCCTGTGTACAAAGATACAGTTCTAATGTGCTTGCATTTCAATTCTAATACAATACCTTACGAATTGCCATTTTACTGTACGAATTAACTTTTAGAGGTTTTTCTTTAACGTAGGCCAAACAGCAATACAATAACTTTTTATTTGAAGAAGTGTTGAAGAATGCAAGAAAACTCATTTTCTGTTTCTACATTTATTGCTACCTGCATTAGCTTTTAAGACACATTCTTCATCTATAATGCTTGGTTGGTAAGCACCTTCATCTCTGCACAAATAAAGCCAGGAATTATTTCTGCATATTTAAAAATTGAAAATGGGGTATTTTGGAAACAATTTGCAAATGTGGATTGTTACAATTGCAGATTGGCCGGCAATTTAAGTATGTATTTCAAGTTGGGACCTCATGGAAGACCACAGTTTTCATATCGTGGTTTGTTGGACACAACCAAACCAGGTTTCTTTGTTCCATTAGGAAACAGAAACCCTTGCAAAGCTCCCCAAACCATGGTTTAGCGTTATGCCTGAGCCAGTCTGTATCTCCAAACCAAATGGTCCATTAAAACCACCTGATTCCATCCCTTTAACTCAGCCATCCAGATACCAGACACCAATCAAGGATTGACAACCTTGCAAGAGTTAAACTGTGGCTTCTTGTTATCAGGACAAGCTGCAACACCCCCCTGTTTTGCACGTCCCTGCCTCCCTTTCTTCCAGTGCAGCCATGAGTTTGGAATCTTCTGCATCTGTCTAGATTAATCCCAGTTTATCATCCCAAGTGGTAGCTCATCTCAGCTATGGTTACTGAAGCAAGCCAGCATCGCGACTCATGGATAATGGTTGGCTTCTTTTGCAAGCCTCCATTAAAACTAACTGTAGTGCCCAGATTCAGACATCCACAACTGGCAAGCTTTCCCTTACTTTAAAGCAAAGGCCTCCTGATCCAAATTTTGCAGCCAAGCAGCCTCATAGCCCTAACATTAAGCCAGGCGCAAACCAGCCACAGCCTTGCCTTCCAGTTCCCAGCCTGCTGTGATTTGGTCGCAGATCAAGACGTTTCTCCAACCCTGCATTTCTACCAGACAAACTCTGTTTGCCGGGTATGGGTCAGTGACTGCATTCAGTTGGAAGCACCCAGCACCAATCCAACTGTGTTTAATGGGCTTCCTTAAATTTGACATAGCAAGAACGTAATTTAAATTTCAAAACATTTTATGTTTGGGCAGCAGGTGTGGGGAATGCCCCTACATTACTCCTGCCACCCCACATTGGTTGACCCCTTTCCTTCTTCCCCTTGAAGGAAAGATGTCGCTCCTTGACCTCACACTTTTCTGCCCCCCCCCCCCCCATTATTTTTTCTGGTCCCACCGCTGTTTGGAGTAAGCTAGCTTTTCCGCAGGTTTTATTGTCTCCTTTAAAGCTACATTTAGTATGAACATTATTTTGCTAGGTTGTTAAACTTGTTTGATTTTTTCTGTTTACTTATTTTGCTGCAGTTGGGCTAAAAGACCGGAAGAATGGAAGTTTCAAAAGACGAGGCAAACATGGCTTCTTCTACACATGTATGATAAAGACAAGGTATGTCCTGATATTTTCTCCTTTCTCTGAAAATTCGCCAGTAGTGATGGTTCAGTGGTAGCTGTGCCAGCAGGCAGAAGGTTCCCGGTTTGATGTCAGCATTGTCAGGTAGGCCGGAACGAAGTCCGGCCTGGAATCTCAGAGACCTGTTGCTGCCAGTTGGTGTCAGCACTACTGGTAAGCTGTGCCAGCCAGCAGTTACCCCTGATCTGACTCTGAGTGGGGCAGCTGTGTGGGTCTGCTTTTATCACACGCTGCAAAACAAGCAGCTGTTTTACTAGCATAAATCTTCAAGCTGAAGTACACCCACGTCTTGTGAGTGCATTTTGAGCTTGTAGGAATGAAAACAGTCTGCAACACCTGGGTTAATGGGAAGTATTGCAATTGAGGGGAAATTCTTAGAGCTCGTTGACCTATAGGGAAGGTACAGCACAGATAGAATTGGAAATGCAAGACCGTGACTCTTGCAGTTTTGCAATCCCTTAGTCCTCCTTGTTCATAGGAAAGCGTTTTGGACCTTTGGAGATTTTCAGCCTGATGGAGATGTTCGTGCCGCCTCCGTTGTGCTTGACACATGGACTCGCACGTCAGACTTGGATCCTGCCCCATGTTGCACTTAATAAAGGCAAAGGTCTCGGGCCCTGCAGTCCGGGGAAATCAGTGCAAAGCAATGTGCAGGCAAAGGCTGCAGCAACACGGCTTGATCTGAAGTACTTTTCCCCATTTGGGAGAATGGCAGCAAGCTAAGCCCGTCAGATGTTACTTTGGGAAAACACACGGAAGCGGCTGCCCTGACCTCGGTCTTCTGGAGTCCAAATCTGCCACTCTATCCACCGTGCTCCAAAAAGGAAAAGAGACTTTTCCGTGGTTCGTGTACTTGGATATGCATATTGTGTAGGCAAGAGCAAACTGATCAAATTGCTTTCTCCTGTTTAATATTTCCTCGTACGCGTCCATCTCTGTGTGTGGCGTTGTCTCGTTCCAAAGCCGTCAAATGGGACTAGACCCTTCCTTTTCTCTCCCCTCTTGTTTTAAAGGTCCCTGATGAATATTTTTCCATTTTGCTGAGGTACCTTGAAGGGCTTCAAGGAGGTGCACGAGGGGTAACTATACAGAAGGCAGAAGCGCTCATGAAGGAATACGACAGTTCTGAGGCGGAAGACTCTAGCCTTCTGGAGAAATGTGAGCGCATCCGAAAAGTTCTCCAGTTGTTGTCATGAAAATGTCTCATCCTGTCAAGACCCTGCCTAGATCCATTTATCCGTGTAATATTACAGGAACGGAGCTGAATATATTTCCTGCTCTTTAAATATTTCTTTGAGAACCGGAGTGCCTTTCCAGAACAGTGTTATTATTCAAGATGTTTCTAATCTTCATCCTCCAGTGTTTAAAGCAAGTCCTTTCCAAGGCTATGCGGTAGCAAAAAATAATAGCAAATATAACTGATCAGTCTTACTAAAAACAACACTTGTGCTCATGCTCATATCTTACCACCCTTCATTTAAACATTGTTTTCTTTTAGCTTTTTTCCTGTATAAATGATCAAGAGCTTGGTAGCTGTTAAGGACAACTCCCCCACTCCCAAAAATGGTTTTAAACCAGGCTCTGAAGCTTCTGCTTTGAAATTAAAATCTTTCGTCCCTTGGTTGGTTGGCTTGGTTGCAAGCTCTGAGCTGTGCCAAGCCATAGTTCAACCATGGGGCAGAGGTGTCACATAATGACAACCCATGATTCAACAACCCACAATTCAGTGGCAGCTCATATTCAACCCATAGTCTGGGTTTTCATCATGCATGAGCCAGGTCCTTGTCTGAGTAAGTCAAATATCTGGAAGCTGCTGCTGTTGGTTCTTCTGTCTTAATTTACCTTTAACGTTTGTTTTATTTCAATTGGCTGCATGATACACATGAATTAACAAAATCATAGGCTGTTCAAGTGGGTGAATCATGTAGGGAAATTGTATTTCATTCCTGACTATCACATCTGTCCCTGTGGGATTGTTTTCTGGTTGCATAAATCTTGCATACAAGAGCATCTTCTGCTGGCCTCTTGCTATTGTCAGAGACTATGTGGCTCCAGACAGCAAATAGGAATTCCAGCTGAAATGACAAGAGTGCTAATTATGTTAGAGGTGTTAATTGAACTGTTGTCCAACTCCAATTACCAGATCCACAAACCATTTCACCCTTATTTAACCTGCAATATTTGTCTGAGTTTTTGACAACCTGTCACCAGCTTGATTTGCTAGAAGACTTGGAAAAGCATGGAAGATATTAGTAATTCTGAAAGCTGCTAACATAATGCATTCCCTTTAAGACAACTTCATCTGGGAAGCCAAATTCTTAAGTGATCCAATATGTGTCATGCTAAGACAGTAATCGTAACGGAAGAGCAACCGTAATGGAATTTAATAAGCCAGCACAGGCGACGATATAAGTTGAAATCAAAGCAGTGGCGGACAGCAAAACCAATCGCAGGCACCTCCTGGATCACATCTCTCATGCTGTTCTACAGGTAGCTGTTAATTTGCTGAATCTGCTGGCAGTTTTATTATGAAATTGAGCTTCTTGCTCTCCAGAAAGATCTTGACCTGTCCTGCTTTTCTGCTGCAGGACCGCCAGGTAGCTCAGTGCTATAGTGGGATAATGCAATTCCCCAAGCAGCAAAAGTGTATCTTTTTTGCTTTCATGAAACAGAAATGGAACTGGAAGGTCCACCTTCATCCAAAGAACCTGTGAACAATTCTGAATGAGGAAGGACCAGCGCTCATTCATGGCCCGTGCAGAAAAGCCCTCTGCATACCCATTTCTTAAAGTCTGCGCAGCAAACATGTCTTCCCTCAACTCCGTACAGTGCAGCCTTGCATTAGAGGGGGGAAAACTGATAAGGAATTTCCTTTTATTTGAAGGAAAAAACCCCTCCGTGATACCCACAGTCCTCAAATCCGTGCAGTACTTTTAAGTCCGACATTTGTGGGGTGCAAAGACGACACCCTTGACAGCACACTGACTTTTCCGTTAGACTAGGAAGTGGCCTCGTGACAAATCCAGAGACGCCTGTCGGTGGTCCAGCTGATTATGAGAGCTGCACTGGGGAGACCGTTAGCTGTCACGACTCTGCAGCGGGTCTGCTGCATACTTAGGAAGGGGATGGCACCTTTTCCTTAGTCCATGTAGTGAGAGAGGAGCGTACGAAGTGCCCTGGCTGTGGATCAGGCCAGAGGGTCGTCGTATCCAGCATCCGGTTCATGCGGTGGCCAACCAGGAATTCGCCGCCGCCCTCCTCAGTTACCTGTCCTGCTTGCTTTCATGCTTTAATTGTTCTGGCACTTGAATAAAGATCAATAAATCCCAGCCTGATTCGCAGATGGGAGTCAGTTGAGTTGTTTGTCTTTTCCCAATCAGCCAGTTGTGTTAATAATTAAGGTACAATCCAAGGCAACGTGAGACAGAGAAATTAAATCTTCATTTGCAAGCTCTGGGTATCTTCCAGCTGAGTTAATCTGTATTGTTTATGTTTGACTGGGAGAATTCATTTCCTGGGAGAATGTTGAAGTGAAGGCGTTTGTGCACAGTAAAACAAGCAAACCGACCAGTGACGGTGTCTCAGCTTCGCCTGCCCATCCTCTTGCCCTCACAGTGGCAATTGCTAAAAAAAACAAAACAGAATAGCCAGTGCAGCGTCTTTCCCTTTGATTTGAACGACCTTTTTTGTGCATTGCATAACTTCAGAGTTCCATGGTGTCTCTTCTCATTTTTCATTTGCAGCCATCATTTAATCGAATTACCGGGAAAGCAGAGCCTTCATCTTAACTTAGGAAAGATACTGTATCTGTATCATTTAACTCAGCACTTCAGAAAAGTCTGGCCCATTGCCATTGGCTTAAGTGTAAAGAAAGGTGAAACGAGTTTGACCTCACACTTTGTCAATCACGCTTCATATTTTACGGACGTAGCAGAATAATTCCGAAGGAACAAAAATGTAAGCAAACGCTCCTTATTGTAACAACGTGGACCCTCCACGTTCTGCTAGCACATAATGAAACAGAGGGGCCTTTGAACACCAGCTTCAGTTTCGCAAAATGTTTGTGCTGAGCAGATCTTTAAAAAAAAGTCTTAATTTTCTTGGGGCCTGTGCTTTCTTTTCTTTTCTTTTATATGGTTAAGGATTTGGTTAATCACCTTGCTGAAATAATGCGCATATCCCAGTAAAGGTTTCTCGTGTGGTCCATCACTCAGTCATGGAGGCCGGTGCCAGATCCAGCCTGGGGACAGGCCGTGGGTCCCACAGCCAGGAGTGCCTCTGATCGCTTTGCCGCTCGAGGCAAGGGCTGGAAAGGGGACCATGTACCCACTCTGCAGCATCAGAAGCCGCTTCCCAGGATACACACGACGCTGACCCAGCCAGAGGCTTCACTGGGGCCCCCGGCCTTCTGCATCCGAGCAAGCGCTGTGCCGGCCAGGTGTCCACTCAAGGCCGTGTCCGGAGCTCCTGGCCACCAAAAGAGGCAGCCAGCCACGGGCGCGGCTCCTCTGCAGCCAGGCCTCATTCCTACGGTGGTTGGAAGCTGATTAAGTTGCAGCTGCACCCTCGCCCTCGGGGGCTGCGGGGAGCCGTCACCAGTTGTTCCACTCTATTTCTGTCTGCAGGCCGCACACTCCTGCAAACAAAAGCCGTGTGGGTGGGTGTTCTGAGCTACAACCTCAGCTGCGCAGAGAATACCACTGTGCAAGGGACTTCTGACGACTGCACCACAAGCGACAGCCGCTGCAGAGAAAGTCTTTTCCAGGCAGAGACGCTCCCGTTGGTGGCTCGGGCTTTTCCCTGTGGAAAACCGCCTCACCCTTCCCAGAGGGGATGCAGGTCCTTTCCGGTGCAGAGAAGGGTGTTGGAGGCCATGTACGGGCATCAGCGATGCGCCTGTGGGTTGGAACGACTGCCAGGAATGCAAGCCCACGCACACGGCAGCGCTCGTGGGCAAGTGCTGGCTGCCACCACTTCTAAAAATAGAGGTAGGCTTGTTGCTGCAAAAGCAGACGTGTTTCTCTGGGCCTGTGATCTGAAGAGGATCAGGAAACAATGTCTGGTCATCAGAAGCTTCCTCACTGTCAGAGCAATACAACAGTGGAACCAGCTGCCTGGAGAGGTGGGGGGCTCTCCCACACTGGAGGCATTCAGAAAGAAACTGGGCAGCCACCTGAGTGGGATGGTGTGACGTGGGGTCCTGCAACAGCAGGGGGTGGACCTGATGGCCGTCATGGCCCCTTCCTACTCTTCTGTTCCATGATTCTATGACCTTCTCTACTCATCCATCAAGAGCTAAATTTAAGCTGCTGTCCGGTTTCGTGTTGTGTAAGATACTGGGTTGATTTGCACCATGGTGAAGCAGTTAATTCATCTGGCTGCCGTTTTGAACATGTCAGTTCCCACGGGCCCCTGCTGCAAACCGTCTAGTGCAGACATGGGCACGATGGCTTTTTTGTGGGTTGAACATTATCCTGGGCAGTTTAACCCTCAAATAAGCCACACACTGGGCTCTCACAGCACACTGAGCTGCTGGGCACCCCCACCAGGGCTGGCCTTTTCAAAATGGCAGCCACCGCATATCTTGGTGAATTCACCTACTGGGTGTGAAGATCTGCAGACTGGGCTAGGAAAAATGAATGGGAGGGCCCAGCTTTTCACACTCGCGGATTCTTCATTCCGTGACAGTGTACCGTGGAAGGGCCACGAAGATACTTTTTCCCTAGTGGCAAGGTAGTATGATCCGCCGTCATAATCACTTCCCCACCTGCCTAATAGAAAAAAGTCAAAAGCTGGTACAGGAAATAACCCCAGGCCACCTACTGCTTCTAATTCAGCGCTGACAAACTGTCCCAGGCTGCAGAGTGTAAGTCCGGCGTTCGTTCTTGAACCATCCGTAGACGGAGCCAGGGTGTGTGCGTGCCGCAAATGAAGCCACCTCGCAAGGCACCATGTGCGTGACACTTTGGTCCTGCTGTAATGGCGCTTATACGGACAGCCCTGTAATCACAGCCAAGAGATCGGAGGTAGTCTTAGAGCAGCCACTTGTTTTTTCTAAGGAGAAGAAGACATCTGGGGCCTGGATCCTACCACTTCTCTCCGGCTACTGGCTGCTGCAAGCAAGAAACACCTCTACTGTGTTTGGATCCAGCTCCAGGACCTGCATTACTGTCATGTATGTAGATGTGAAGGCCAGGACATGCACTCTCTGAGAATGCCTTTGCAGTGTAAGCCTGAGGGCAGAGACTTTTTGTTGTGATCGGTGCCTCAGAGCATTTCCGGGAGCGTTTCTGGTGGAAGGGTGGGTAGAAGTGCCTTGAATGCCCAGCAAGCTCATAGCTGAGAGAGCGTGCCCTTCCGATTCCCGGCTCTTTCTGAAGAAGGCGCCGCAGAATGGAGAGGGCATCAACCCATCCAAGGCAAGAGGCTGGGGACACTTTTGGTGGCCAGGGCCGGGATGGATCAGAGGTGGATGGCTAAAGAAAAGCCATGATGGGTTTGGACTGGAAGGTGGGTCGTGCCCATCTGTCACTGGGAAGCCTGATTTTCTTCCCAGGCATATAAAGCTAATTGTCCTGTGGAAGCTGTTGTGGGTCGGCTTTGCCATAAACGGCAGCATAGAAATACGCTAAATAAATTACGTTTATGTCTCTTCTTTCAATGCAAAATGGCTTCAGGGCAGCTATGCTAATGAGACACAATGCAATAAATATAATTAAACGAGCAGACTAGCAGATAAAAAGATGGCATATGGAACCGACAGAGAGAAGGCTGTCTGCTTGGAGTCAGCAGCTAGGACTGGGAGCAATCAGCCCCCCAGGCAACCGAATGAGACTTTTCCCAGGGCAGGGTGTAGCCAAGTTATGGGTTAGCTGTCAGGGTAGCACCATTATAAAAGGGCTAGTGATTGCTACCTGGGCCTTAAGGTTTGCTTCTCAGCTGTGCTGGTACAACTCCAGTTGCCTCCGGCTCAGCCCCAGCATTCCTGAAAGAATACGCTGCTAAGAGCTTTGCAGATGAATATGTCTCGGGGGGAACACCTTACCTTCCAGCGCTGCCTCCCTTGCAGAATGTGACTTTCTTCTACCTGCCTTAACCATGGCTAAGTGTTACATCAGCACCATGGTTAGCCATGGCTAACACTTAACCAGGCTCTCTTAACCAGGTCTTTGAAACCCAGTTACAAATCCTGGTTTAAAGTAAATCTTGGTTAACATTCTTAGCAATTGGAGAGGGCTAAGGGGAACTCATATTCCCGAAAGAAAGAGCGGTCATAGTTAAGGAACTTGGAGTATCGCAACTGCATAAGACCTGAATTGTTATGCTCCCAGAATGTCGGACAAGTCCCAAGTTGGGTTTGGTGGCTGTTGATGGAGCAGGGGAGTCTGTACACAAAAGGAGGAAAAATCTGTGTGTGTCTATCTGAAGGTTTTATCGCTTGCAGTGTGCTTTTTGTTTTGTAACAATGGAGAAACCTTTGACAAATGGATGACTGCATTGAAAATGTATCCCGTCTCCTTCCCTTCCTTCCTTCCTGTACCAGAATTTCCTGAACAAATCTAATCAAAGTCTAATTAATAGGTGGAAAAAGTTATTCAAGTGAATTTGCTGAGACCAGGATTTCTTTTCAGCCTTTTCAAAATCAAGGTTAGAGAATAATCTTGAGGCATTAAAGGCAGACGTTGGCTTTGGTTTCAAACCAGCCGGGAGAATTGTTTAGATTTCAAGTCTTTGTGGAATTTCCATACAACCTGAGGCTAAAAGTGACCATCTGTGTAATAATTTGAAATAAAGTTGCATTCTGCATTATACTGGCTCAGTTTTTATTAAAAAATGCAGTGGTGCAAAACTTACATACGGCACGAAAACAGCAGTAATTTTAGCGGTTGTTTCCAGGAACTGGCTGAGCTACAGCAAATGTTCAGTTTGGTGCATCTTTTTTCTTTCTTTCCTTTCTGAAGCCATTTCAATATTATTTCAGCTGTCACCAAACAAAGCAACAACAATAGCGACTTCAGAGATCAAGAGTGCGATCGTTTGATCAAACTGTACGAGAAAATGTGGACTTGCCTTCGATTTCCCTCTTAATATGAGAGCCAAATCAACAGGTTTGTGCATGCTGAACAACAGAATGGACGTGTTAACAGGAACTTCGGAACTCCAAGGATGGCAAAATGTGTCCATCTGCAGGACTGAAGGGAGATTGACGGGGTACAGAATCTGTGTGTGAAGGGAATGAGACCCGGCAAGCCGTCAGCGGACACGAGAGGGACAGAAGACGGTTATGTGTTGGTAGCCGCTCGAGATGCCAGGGGAAGACTTGTCATCAGTGAGGACCCATGGTGCTGGTCCACCTTCAGCAACCAGTGGATCCTGAAAGCCGCCAAAGCATTTCCAGTTGGCATTGCTAGCGCCTCACCTGTTGAGCTCTGTGAGACTTGGCCATAAGCTGGGTGGCTTAAGCCATGTCTCAACATCGTCCGCATTCGGTTCCTTGGTATCCCAGGGAACTGGAGGAGTGAAGGAGTTGAAAGGGGATTGGAAAGTGTGGGTGGCAGCCAAAAGCAAGGCGGGGGCTGAAGGAGAGCAAATGGTACGCCAAGCAGGAGGCAAATTTGCCAGGTGCAAGAGAGAGAAGGAGGCCAGAAGGGAGAGACGTGATCAGGATAGTGGATCATAAGGCTCAGTTAATTCTAGTTTTAGAATCCAAAGCATAGATTTATTACTCTCTGAATGTCTAAAGTATTGTGAATTCTCATTTCCGTGGGCCTTCCTAGTTAACTCCAGGAGTCCATTTGCAATTCCTGTTTGTTTCTTTAATCGCATTTTTTAAAGTTATATAATGCCAGGAATGCGCCTTATGAAGAAACCTAAGCAGGGGTTGCAGGGAGAAAGAAGAGCTCAGTGGCAGACCTGTCTGGTATGTGGAAAGTTGTAACTTCGGTTCCTAGCATCTCCCATTGGAAGATCGAGATCTCCCTGAGGGCAGGTGATCTTGCTCTAGATAAGGTGACTTCCAAGGTTCAAAGTCAAGACAGCTCTCTGCCCCAAGGAGCCTACAGTCCAAAGATTGGACAGTAGAGAAAAGGATACACTAATTTCTGGATATCACACGCAAGACAGATGTGCACATACAAAATTGGGTTAAGCGCAAAGCATTCCTGTTACGTAACAATCAGGCTGTATAAAAATAGGAGATAAAATACATCGGCAGATTCAGCCTAATTTGATGGAGACAATTGTGCATTCTTAGGTCTTGTCTTAGTGAGGGGTGAGAGCAAATGGGTTAAGCCAAAGGAATCCTTTACCGAAATGGCGGGTTCTTGGAAAGGAAAGGACTGAGCAGTACCACTTCACACGTGCTGTGGAGGAGAGTTTCGGAAAAGAGAGGATGCCTCCCAGATGTTGACGGGCTGCACATCTGGGTGTGTGCCATGACCCTGGTTGAAGTGTTCGTCTGAAAGGCTCCGGCGGTCTAGGGGGAGGGACAGCACTGAGGCGTGCGATGGTCATCTGGCGCTCACAACAGGGGTGGTCTCGAGGGGGGGTGTTTTTCATCAGCTGTTGTTTTCCTTCCTTCCCAGAAAAACCCCAGCGAGCTGGCTTTTGGAAGAAAACGTGGACTGTAATAGTGGTTGTGCTGGTGAGATACAAACGAAGAAAAAGCCAGAACGGGGCCAGGCTAGGAATGGCCAGAATGCTGTGTGAGTAAAAGAGTGGATGTTTTCCTCTATCAGTCCTGAAATTGATCCAGTCGCTCCAGACCCATTTTCCAAAAAGCCTCGTGATGGCTGCACTTGAAACACCCGATGAAAATGATATTTTTGCAAGCAGCACTTAGAAGCCTGGGGCATTCTGGTACATGCCCTTTCTCCTTTATATTCCCAACACTTTCAGACCAGGAATTTGTTGATAGTTAACTAGCCCACATTGGAGCTGGAGCGTCCGAAGCTCAGTGGGATTGTTTCAGTTCCAATGTAATTAAAGGTTTTGATCCCTTCCCAAAATACCATGTGGTGAAGGGAACTCTATACTAAAGCCGTTGGCTTCTTTTCTTCTTTCAAAATCCTGCTGCTGGCAGAGCCGTGAACAGCCAGATTCCTCCGGATCAGCGCTTTTTAAAATTGTTACCTTCAGAGAGCCATGTCCAGATTGATTCATCTACCATGGGTCCCCTCTGCTTTATAAACATCCTGCCGGACCAGGCTGAAAATCCAGCGCTTCCAGCACCCCGATTCCCACAGTAGCCAATCCGATGCCTTGCTGGGAAGCCCACAGGTTGGGAGCAGAGGTGATGGTCTCACCTGTGCCAGCTCCCAGCACCTGATGGTCAGAGGTACCCCTCCCCATCTCCGTACAGAGAAGTTGCATTGAGTTGCCACAGCTCGCCAGGACGTTCTTCGGAAATGCAAGTATCGGAAGAGCCCTGATGGGCCTAGCTCAGCAGCCGACAGAACAGATGTGGCTCCTTCCTGGCCCGTCTTGTCTCTGAACATGCACAGAGCTATTCTAGCTTGTAGCTGCCAGTAATTGTCTCCTGGATGAATTAGTCTTCCCAACCGAGTGCCTTCCAGATGTGTTGGGTGACAGTTCCCAGCATCCTTCAGTCAGCATGAAGGGGAGTTGGTAGAAATTTGGGCTGCTCCGATCCAGAATGGAGTGGAGAGATTCTCCCATTTAGTGAGCTCCTTGCAGGTGATGAGCTAGCGCCAGGATCGGGCCGACACATTTTTGTTGTTCGAGGCCAAGAACCAGGTGATGGCCCACTCCAATTCCTTGTGCAGAAGCCAGGCTCCATGCACGGGACAGGTCTTGCACCACCCTCTCTTGCAGGTTGGGAAGCCAGGAAGAAAACGTCGATGTCACTGGCGAAAACGCGGCCGCTAAGCCTGCATGCTCCAGACCTGGGTGAGGAATCTGCCGCGCATGTGCCCCATTCTCCCAGAGCAACCTGGGCAGAGGGCCAGGGAAGCCAAGCATGGAGGCGCCTGTTGTTTTCTCACCCAGAACCAGTGACAGAGCTGCCGCCAGCACCGGCTGGGCACACGACGTGGCAGCGTGCAGGCGCTGGAAGAGGCACCAGCTTGTGCAGTGTGTGGGGGGCTGGAAGGAGGCAGAGCAGACGGGGACGTGCGGGTCCAGAGGAGAAGTATGGCCGCTGGAGAGGCAACGAAAGAAATTTACCCTGGTTCACCAGCCTCCTGGCATGGAAAGTGTAGGCTTAATCTCCTTCTGTACTAACGGAACTGCGCCTCAGAGCAACACAAGGAAAGCACTTTCCAGACCATCTAAACCAGCAGATGCACACCTCAAACAGGGAAACTCAAACTGACGGAGGGACCCTCCACGCCTGCTGCTCTCTTGGCTGCGCACGTGTTGTATTGAGCCCAAAAGCAGCGCCCAAGCCCATGCCTGAATCGCCGAGCAGCTTCCTCGCAGCGATGGGACAGTGACACCTGGTGGCCCAAGACGGAGCGCTGTTCAGGGGAGTTGTAAACAAGTCTAGATGCCTTTGTTTGACACCTGTTGCTAAGTGTAATTTTTGCGCTCAGCTCTGTTCTGCATAAAAGGCTATTCCAAGCCGCAGTACCTGAAAAATGCTGCTGTGTTTTAAATGTGTGGCTGCTTTCAGAAGACACGTGAATCTTTTCTAGCTGCTAAATGGACTATAGTGGTATAATACACTTTTCGTTCTGAGGAAAGCTCATTTTGCATTGGTCTTCAGCCTGTAGGATGCTCTGCGTTCAGAGGGTGAGAGAGAAAAGTTCGGCGTCCCTCTGAACATTTTGTGTGTTTAAGAAGTTAGGGACAGTCATGCTGGATCAGACCAAAGTTTCCTTTAACTTAGCATCCAGTTTCCCACCACAGCCAACCTGGTGCTTGTGGAGAAGTGACCAGTAGAGCATGGAGTGATCACCCCATCCCATAATTTACCCGGCAGTTGCAATGCATGGGCATACTGCCTCGGAACTGGAGGTTCCACAAAGCCCCCTGAGTGGGAGGGTGTGACGTGGTGTCCTGCAACAGCAGGGGGGTGGACTTGATGGCCTTCATGGCCCCTTCCGACTCTATGATTCTATGATCACACCATTGACAGGCACATCACCTTCCATGACGTGACTGGTCCATCTTCAAAGCTACCTAAGCTACCAAGCATCTCCACATCTTGTGGCCATCAGTTCAATCAAGTATATGTCACATGAAGAAATAGTTTCTCTTGTTTGTCCTGAATCAACAGCCAGTCCATGTCCCTAGAAGAACCTCCATGAGAGAAGGAAGAAACTCTGAGAGGAAGAACCTATGGAGGAATTTGGGAATGGGAAAGGATTGCTTCTACCCAGCTTGGCTTGGCTTTATGGATGCCCATGAAACCCACGGGCCTGTGGGTCAGACGAATATATGAAACCAGACTGGATCTGCCTCTTGGCCCATCTGATTTATGCCCTCTGTTCGAAATGACAGCAGCTCGGGATGGTGTGACGGAGAGGTCCTTGCCCTTGCGACTCTTCCAGCTGGGGGAGCCATGGACGAAATCTGGCCGTGCTTCTGATGGGTGCTTTCACTTCAGCAACAGTTGCCCATTTCCTGTCCAAGAAACACTGCAGAGCAGCTCTCCCCTTCTGCAAAAGAGTTGGACAGTATCCACAGAAGCCTCTGCCAGAATAAATTTCTGGGTCTCTCACATGCCATGAGTCTCGCGGGCGTTTTTGCTGCGGTTGACTCACATGCGGTTGCTAGGGCGGCGGGCCCCCAATACTTTTCGTGCTTTGCTGCATTTTTGCGTTAGCGGATTGCAAAAAGGACTAATAAAATGGGGGGGGGGACCCAAAAGCAGCCTCGAATGTTTCATTTGGGAAGCCTTCAAGCAGCAGCGGCTGCAGAAGGCACTTGGCCCAACCACCGGGCGGCCTGATGCTGTCAAAATGAGAGCCCCTGGCAGACCACCCACGTCTCCGGGCCTGGGAGCTCCCTCCCCTCTCGAGGCGCAGCTTGGCCTGCTCGGCTTGCATCCTGAGCACATGCCGTTCAAATCACGCTCGTGTGCGGGGACCTGCTTCCGCTCCAGCGGTTTGTTTTCTGTTTGCTGCGACGAAGAGGCACAGGTGCAGGGGGACCAGGCAGCATCCGAGTCCGCCCTGGGTCCCGGGGATAAGAATCTCACCGTCTGCTTTGCAGCAGCACCCTGGCTGTGTGGAACCATCCCATGGGGGTTTAGAACTGCCCTGCCTCCGTTTCCACGGGAGCACCCCTTCCTCGGTTTCCCCCACGTGTAGCTGCAGGGATACGGAGCTGCACCGGCAGGGGAAGGACGTGTTATTCAAACGGGCCTTTGACGCACAGGCCGGTCTCGCGGGTCGGAGGCCGTTTTGCACCCTCCCTCATTGTTGCGTTGTCAGGTCTTTTTAATTCTGTTTGTTTTGTTGTTTTTCCTCAGGTTAGGTAGTGATCGTAAGCCAACCAGAGTGCCAGTTTTCTTAGAAAGGCAGGGTACAAGGTGTTCCCAGATCAACGAAGGCCTTGGCAATTATAGGCAGCCTATAAACATATTAAATAAATAAACGTTTCAAAAATTGGGATACAATGAGAAACACGATGCTTCTTTGCAGGGGGTGGGGGGTCCATAAATTGAGGGTCATCTCATGGCACTGCCCTCAATGCACTGTGTCTTAGTAACCCTTACACCAACCCTGTAAAGTCAGCCATGCTGATTGTGCTCTCCTTTACAGATGATTGAAAAAGAGGGGCAGCAAAATCATGGCTTGCAGCCTTCCCCAGTGTGGTGCCCTCGGGAAATTCGGGATTACAACACCCATCCACCCTAGTCAGCATGCCCATCTGCAGGACCGTGTCTTTCAGAAGGCCACCCTGTACATTCAAGACCTGCTGAAACTGTCCCATGCTTCCATTCACTTAATTGCTACGCTGGGATGCAAACGCCTCAGTCGTGCTGCTTCTGGAAATGGCTTGACCGTACAGTGATTGCCAGCAGTTAATTTTTGCAAGGTTCTGTGGCTTCAAGGTAAAATTTCCTTCCCAAGTTTTTAATTTTTAACCTGGTCCGTTACTTCAATTCTGCAGACCATTTCAGCCTAAGTCAACGGAATTCTTATCTTTCCGAGTAAATAAAACTCAGAAAGTAGGCCATGGTTAGGCAAGTTCGAAACGGCGCAGCCGATGCTGGAAGCACCTCACGATCACGCATGCTAGTTATAAATTCACCTTTTGTTGGCAGTCCTGAAGTGTTGCCGCGGACAACCCAAATGTTCCCAAGACAACGGAGAGCAGTTTGCCTTAATGACTTAAGAAGACCAGGTTTAATGGGGTTTCTCCTCTTTCCCCCCATTGCACCCCAGCCCCAGACTGTGCTCACACCTGAACGCACCTGGGAGGGCCCCTGATGCAGTGGCAGATCAATTCCCCTCGTCGGGTCCTGGGATTTCAGGGAGCACGGCCAGCTCAACATCCTGGAGGGCAGCTGCCAGACAGAGAAGGCAATATAGAGCTAGAAGAACCAACCGCTGGTCTCCATGTTTGCCAGAGTAACATATTTATTCATACAAACATAAATGCATGCCCATATGGATATTACGGTGATTTTATTATTTTATCTAGTACATTTTTTTAAACCCTGCCCATTTTATGCATATGTGAGAAGCATCATGTTCAAATTACAAGAAGCAGATATTTCCTCCTTTGTTGGCATGTCCGTTCCTTCTTTAGATTTGCCTGCAATGCATACATGTTTCTGTCACATGCTGCGTCCGAGCATGTGTGGGGCCCATATTTTTGCCAGTGTGAATATTCGAGAGCTCCAGCGTTTATCACGGAGCCTAAGAATGTATCGGTTTGCAGAGTGCTTCTCGCGGCTGGATCGCTTCCACCAGCCAGCACTGCAGAAACTGACAATCTGCGTCATAGAGTAGAATATTAGTATAATCTTTGTCTTCCATTCAATTCAAGTTTATTTCCAAAGCCTTCTTACTGCCTGAGGAGCACTGAAGCAGTGAAGTGTTGATAAGCATGCAAGAATGAGCAGATGGGTTGCGAGAATGTTTCAGAAGGTCACGGGAGGAGGAAGAATAGATGAAGAGAACGTGAAGCAGCAACCTCCGGCGTGACCCCTAAATGCTTCTGATGTAAATGATTGGCTTGAGACACAAACGAGAGATGATGCAAGAAGGAGAGCTGTTTTCTGGAGAATGTTGGATAGAGTTCACCGTACATGTTGAGGTTAGACTTCTGTGGAGCTCTTGGGCAAAGACTCTCATCAGCCCCCTGAAAGTGGAAGTGAAGGGAATTTGCTTTTTGTGGCTTGGGTCCCCTGTGCAGAGGACAGCTTGCAGCCTCAGGTCTGTTCTTGGTCATCGGGAAGGCCCAGAAGAGAACACAATGTCCGGATCATGAGCAGAATAAAAGCAAGACCTTGACTCCAAGTAGCCCATTGGGTGACGTTCTCTCCTCCTTGGACATCCACCATGAAATCAGGGCTTGCGTGAAATTGAAGCCATGAAATTGAAGCCACTACTGGTGTAGTGGGCGAGACTGGAGTGTCCAGCAGCACACGCAATACCCACAGGCCTGGCATGCTGGATGGTGCCGTTTTTAACATCTGCACCGTTCTGCTGGGAATTCTTCTTTCCAAGGCAGAAAATGGTGACATGTGGACCCTGAGCAAGAGACTGAGAGACCCTCAGAAGCCTCTGCCTTGCACCGGAATGTCTGGTGACTGTGACAGAGCCGAGCTGTAGGCGACTGGGAAACGGTTGTTGAAGCCAAGGAGACTGAGCTGGGCGCTGCTAACATGGCCGGGAAAAGGTGTACCTGCACAGGACGTCTTTCTGCTCGGGGGAGCCAGTCTCCACTGAGGGCGTAGACAACTATCCGCCTCGTGGAGGAATGTTTAAGCAGAAGACAATTGGCCCTTTATACACAGAATTCCCGCTCTACTTCCCAATTGCACTTGGGATGGAGTGAAAGCTGATTAAAACTTCTGCTTGGCTCAGTGTCCAGTCATCCTTACCAGTATCCACGGCCTCAGAAAATTCCCTCCTATGCTGAAAGTCTGGGGCCAGCCTTGTTCGTTCTGCCCCTGACGTGTGCTGAACTGCTCTCCCTGCTTGTATTCCCTGTTTTGAAGAGCAAGCTTGATTTCTTCCACAGGATGCTCTGTCCGATTTAAGAAGCAATTAATGGAGAAGAAAACGAGGCCCTGGAAGTGAGGCACCGTAGAATGCACATTTGCAAACCTGGGCTAGTTAGCAGCAGAAGAAAACAGGGTAAGGACTGAGGAGTCCGTCCAGACCAGCATTCTGCTCCAGTTGCCCATGGGATCTTCCATGGACACGCACACAACTGCACTCTCTGGCCCATGCACCCCAGCAGCAGGGGAACATAGGACTGCTACCTCTGACCCTGGGGGTGGCATTTAGCCACCAAGGCTAGCAGTCACCGTTCGCCTTAACGCTCTGTGCTTGTGGCCAGTCCTGTCCAAATAGGTGGCCGCCACGGTGTTCGGTGGAAGTGCTCCCTGGAGTTCCACTAGATGCGAAGTCCTCAGAGTGAAGAGGCAGAGTCAAATAAGCTGGAAGCAGCAAGTTCTAATGGGCTTTAGCAATATCTGACCAACTTCCCAAGAATGAAGCCAATCTGCTTGCGTGACAGCCGGTGTTGTAACTTGCAGCTGGATATGGACCTGGACGATTGTGTTAGCAGAGGGGGCGCGAAGAGGCGGAGCGAAGCTTTCAGCTGTTGCATAAGCTGATCGGCTGGTAACTTGTCCTTGCATTGGGCTTTTTCCTTGCGGTTGTTCCCTCCAGCGCCCCTCTCAGCATGGCTGCTTGGGAGTCAGTCCTCCTCAGCCCAGGTGTAGCTGCCTTGCTCTTGGTGCTGTTTTTACTAGCTACCTTCTGGATTTTGAGCAGCCCCGGCAAGTCCTCTCCGTGTCTGCCTCCCGGTCCGGTCCCGCTCCCATTTATTGGCAATTTGCATTTGATTGATCTTAAAAGACAAGACAGCTCATTCATGAAGGTAAGGTTTGTCATTTTGTGGCAGGACAGGCCCAGTTTTAAAGCCTTGTTTGCAGAAGAACATGGTATATAATCTGTAAAAATCCTAAGCATTGTGTACTATTATAATTTGCAAGAGAGACCAACATGATGTGATAATGCAGTCTAGAATATTCAGTTCCTTAAATAATATTTGACGACTAAGCCTATAATTCTGTACAGACTTGACTGGTGATAAATGTCACTTAAAGTGTCTCTAACTAAGTTGTGCAGGAAACTACAGAAAAGTCCTAGTGTTGTCACAACCTCTTCTGATTGCCTGTTTCGTCTGAAACTACAGTGAGGGTACCACTTCAAATATTGTTAGTATTTGGGGTCTTTCTTCTTTTCTGTGCATTGTCCAAGTGAAAAGAAGAGCAGGACTCTTCTTGTTAAGGGTCACTGGAGAGGAAAACAGCTCGTTCTGGAGGGATGAAGAGATAATGCCTATCCAAAAATCTTCATCTGTGCAGCCATTAAAGAAATGGTGCCATCTTTTCCGTCTGGTTACCCTCTCTCCCTGACTTTCCCCACTGGAAAAAGGCATCCATCCCAACCCGTTGTGACCCTGTTGTGAGTTCCAGCACACAAGCCAAGGGTGGAGGTGGCAGTGCCCTCTTTATGGCCCACTGACCTCTGACATACTAGATAAACGAATGTAAAATGCGTATTGTCAAATCATGCCATGAAATTAACAAGCTGGATTAAGAGTGGCCAAGGTGGGGTGAGAAAGCCCTTGACCCAACTTCTTCTGGGACCTCCTCCTCCTCCTGCAAACTGGCGATTGTGCAGTGACTGCTTAGCTCCAGCCCCTCCTGTTGCTTCTCCTTTCCAGCTTTCTGAAAAATATGGCCCCGTCTTCACGGTCCATTTCGGCCTGCAGAAGGCTGTGGTGCTCACTGGCTACGAGGCCGTGAAGGAGTCACTTCTGAGCAAAGGGGATGAATTCATCGACCGACCTGACATCCCAATATTCGTTGAGATCCAGCACGGGAACGGTAACGGCATCCCTGCCATCCTCGCTGCTTGCCACTCCGTTGCGCTGCAGAAGCACAACTGCAGAAAGATGCCCGCAACTGGTGGATCTTGGCCTGCTCTTAAACGTGCCAAATGTTCTTTGCTGCCTCTCTGGCTCCTGCTTCTGAAATGCCTGCGGGGTGGAGAGGAGGCCGGTGTGAGGGCCACCCTCCAGCTCTTCTTATCTGTTTGCTGTTTGCACTGACAACATCGGAGCATTGTTTTTGCGGTGTTTCTGCAATCTTATCAACGTGTTTTATTGCTGGTTGGGAGCCACCTTGGGTGGACAACTTATCTTGCAAGGCAGATCTAAAAGCCCCGGAAGTGACGTAATGGAAGGACAAGCTGCTCCCGTGCGGACCAGCCTCAATCTGAGCATCTTCTCTCAAAGCCCCTTGCTACGCTCCCGCACTTCTGGCTTTCTCTGCTTTCCTTTCTGTGGAATTTCCGTCCTGGGCACATTTTTGCTATCGTTTTGATATTCTCCGAAAAGATTTCTGCTTGCTCAGGGCTTTGGCAACACGGTTAGCAACGTTCTGCCTTCCAGTTCACTCTGATGCAGTTTTACACCGTTGCACTAGAGTTATTATTCAGATATATATTATGACGGTTGCTATGGAGAAAGTCTCACCCAGGCACACACGGCTTCTGAAAGTCGTGCTCGAGTTAAAGCACGACAAGGGTCCAGTGTGGGGTGGTGGGGAAGGTCTTGAACTGGAGACGTGGGAAATCTGGATTCTCCTCCCACCTCGGCCATGAGCTCTTGTTGGGAGGATAAAAATGCAGTGGAGAAGAACGGTATAAGTTGACTTGGGTTCCTCACCAGAGGGGAGAAAAGGCTTGATAGAAGTGCAATATGGCAATAACAACAGCTGAATGACCTGTGGAACTCATTGCCACAAGATACAGTGCTGGACACCAGGTTTAATAACAAAGGTAAATACTTTACTGAATGATACGGAAATACTCTAGAGCCAAACAAGGCTTCCAGGTCAAGGATCGCCTTGCCCTCAGGCCAGTTGCATGAACAACACGACGGGAAGGGATCGATCGTCGCTCTCCGCCAGCGGTTTTGCCCCGCACTGTCTGGTTCTCAGCAGCTCTCAGTGGCAGGGCAAGCGTAACGCTTTGCTTCCGCCTCGCGGGTGCTTTCCAGGGCGGGAGCCTTTGCACGGGGAGCTGGCCCAGGTTCAGCCTGGGCACGTGCCCACGTCTTCAGTGGCCGAGTACAGAGCGTTTGGAGAGATGAAAGGCAGGTGGCCAGCCGGGACGTCCTGGACCCCTGACTGTGTTTGCTTCGTGCTTCCGCAGGCATCTTCTTCTCTGAGAGGGAGCTGTGGAGATCCACCCGCAGATTCACGTTGTCGAACATGCGGGATCTTGGCATGGGCACGAAGCAGATGGAGGAGAAGATTCTTGAAGAGCTGCATTTCCTCATTGAGGAGATCAAGTCCTTCCAAGGTGATGCGCTGTTTTGTCTCCTCCTCGCCGCTTCGCACGCCTGCCACCTGCCAAGCGCTGCCAGTGTAACCAACCTCCATTTTTATTATCTCTTTCAGGCAAACCTTTCCCGCTGCAGCTACTTTCCACTGCTCCAACAAACATCACCTTTTCCTTATTGTTTGGAAGCAGGTTTGACTATGCCGACCCAACTTTTCAGACATTACTGAAAGCCATCGAAGAGGTGATGTCCCTTCTGGGATCCTTCTTCTTACACGTAAGTAGCTGCATTTCCCATGATGAAGGTCACCCACCCCTGACATCTGGTGGCTGGCAGTTGTAGGAAGACACTGCCTGCCCTAGTTCTGATCATTGCAAGAGGGCACACCTTGAGTAGCTGCTCTTAGAGAGATATTTCGGTCTGCTGAATGTTGGCTTGTCAAGCTGACACTCTGTGATTCACAGCAGTAAAACGGGAGCAGATGAAACGGAGAAGCCCGTATTATATGAACTGCAGTGGGCAGGAAGATTGCACAGGCGACTTCTTAAAAGGCTCAAAGGAGCTTCCGTGGTGAGGTTTCAGGTCTGCTAAGGATCAGGGGAGCTCATAACCTCCCTGTTCATAAGCAGTGCATCTCTCGGCACCGGATGTGAGGAATGAACTAAAAGGGAAAGCGCATCAAACCTGTGATGAGCTTTGGAACATCTTACAGCACTGGAATGGCCGTTCTTTGGAGTGGAAAGCTAGACTTTATGGTTTATTCCAAAGAAGGTGATCCTTCCGTTTTTCTAGTGGTGTTGTTGGTTTCTGTGCAGCACATAGCCAAAGCTCTCTAGGCGGGTCACAGCATTACGTCCCCCACCCAGGCTCCAACCAGGCCTGACCTGCTTAGCTTCCAAGGCTGAACAGAAACAAGGGGTCACAGCTGAACCAAGCGCTGTGTTGTCCAGCGCCCTGCGATGACCACCTGAACGCCTTCCGGGAGCCCGCCAGCAACGTGGCAGGGTGGAGAATCCGTGCTCGCCCGAGGAGTCAGTTTCGGAGAGGGTTGCGTTGCGGGAGGGGGAGAGACAGAGGGGCCAAATGCAGAAGGACTCAGCCTGTCGCATCGGAAAGGTCTTGTTCTCGGTAATCCCGGGAGATACACTTCAACCCTTTGGAATGGGGGGAACATGCCGAGGCTGGAAAGGTGCTTTTGCCTGAAGCCAGGAAGGGTTCAGGCCCCGGCCGACCCGGCCTCCTCCTGCATGCGCCCGCTGCGTGCACTCTTGCGTGCACAACTCGGTTCGCTCTGGAAAGTTGCGCAAGGCTCCCTCCCACATAGCTCCGATTGCACCATCCTAGCCAATGTCTAAATCAAACCCAAATGTGGCAGAACAGCTCTGTTTCCGACCTGAGCGAGAATGTCTTTGGCTCTTCCCCATGTGCCACAGCGGTCTGTCTCCTGGCCTGAACTCTTGGACGGTCTCTTCAGCGCCTCCCCAGCGCTTTCGGTCGCAGCCACCCCCTTCTCTTCACCCTCCCCCCAAAAAAAAGATAGCAGGATCAGTAGGAAAGAGACTGAAAAGGCTAGTGCCGGTCTCCCAGTGCCCTTAGCACGAGTCAGAAGGGACCTCCTGGGCCATCTAGTCTGACCTCTGGCTCGAGCTGGTTCTGCTCATGACATGCCCGCCATGTGCACATCCAGCCTGTCCTCGAACACCCTCACCGATGGGGCCTCACCGACCTCCCGTGGAAGCCCATTCCACACCCTCGGGTTCCTAACTGTCCGGAAGGACTCCCTGGCATCCAGACAGAACCTCGGTTCCCTGAGCTTGGCCCCACTGGAGCACGTCCCCCTGTCCTCTGCCCTTATCTCACTTTATGGAGCACCCACATTCGGATTGTGTGAGTGGTTCCAGTCACTGGACCACAGATACATGTCCAAAACCTGCAAAATGATTAGGAAAGGGGCGAGCAAAGCTGCCGGGGTGGGGTGCGTCTGAGTCTTCTCCATAAGGAGAGACATTCAGACTCGGAGTTTTTGACTGCAGAAGAAGGAGGCGAAAGGGGGTGTGTGTGAGAGTTTTCTGAGAGGTGCTGTGGAGGCAGGAGAGGGGGTGTACGTAACATCTGCCTCTTCATCCAGTAATGCCAGAACCCAGGCTCACACTAGACATTAAAGGTGCCATCCCATGTCGAGACAGAAAAGAGCCCTCCAGTCCCCGTGGCCGGCTACGGCATCCCGGGCACTGCAGGACTTTGCTTAAGCTAGGTGTGACATTCAGGGTGCCATGCAGCAGGTTCGGGTTTCGGCAAGATGCAGGCAGGGCAAAGGGGCACCAGCTGCGAGCAAGGCCCGGCGACAGAGGCAGAGCCGAAAGCGAGCAAGGCTCAGATACCAGCCAGGCGGTGCAGGGCTGGGGGCGGAAGCGCCTTGCTCCCCCAGAGTTTGGGGAGCTGCGTTTCGGAGATTCGCCCTTCGCTCTGAAGTTGTCCAGGCCGTGCCGCTGGCTGTCTCCGTCGCCTGTGTGGACCGGGCCATTAACTGGCGTAAGAGGGTCGCACGGCATCCACGTTTTACCGTTTGCTCCTGGGTTAGTTTTATGATCGTCATCAAACATGACGGTGCTAGTGACTTGCCAGCCGATTGAAAGAAACACTGAACTCCGTTCCACCCGGAGTGCTGCGGCTCTGTTAGCAGATTGTAATTGATTTATAATTTGTGCGGTACTTAAAAATGATGATCCAACAACTTTGAAAAGGAAATCTTTGCTTGCTCTATATCTGGGGCAGATGCTCTGTTTTGTTTTATCGCCCCCTTTTAAAAGACAATTTCATTGGTTTCATCACCTTCCGATTACTTTCCCTTAATTGTGTTTTTTAATTCAAGTTTATAGTCTGTGTCTAGACAAATGTGATGGCCTCCATTCATTTCCCTGGAACTTTCTTTGAGGGAAGGAGAGCTTTTCCTCACATAGAGCTTGAATTATCCTTCTCAGATGTCAAATTCCAGTTGCATTGTTCCGAAAGCCTTCTGTACTTAAACAGACGAAGCACAAAGTTTCTTGCGCTTGCACCTCACCCGAAGTATCGCCATCCGGCTGTCCTTTTGCACAGGCCCCTCTGGAACGAGCTCACCACTGCGGCCCTCACCACACCGCAACGACTTAGCACATCTTTCTCGCGTGTCGTCTTGTGTTGGCATTTCATTTATTTACATTGCTGTCATTGGGTTTCTCTTCTAGGTATTTAATGTCTACCCATTCCTGGGATTTCTTTTCAAACCCCACAAGATGATCTTGAGAAAAATTGATGAAACCTGCATTGTTCTGAAGAATTGTATCCAGAGCAAGAGGCCAAATATCAACGAGAACAACTTAAACAGCTACATCGATGCACTGCTGTTCAAGCAACAAGAAGAAGTATGTTTTCATTTTTTCCTTCCACAGATTTGGAGCTGATGGGAGGGTAACCGCACGCCAGAAATTTAGATGGGGAAAAGAGGTCACATCCTGAACGGGGCACTGCGCCCATGTTGAATTTGCCAGAACCTCTAGTGTAGAGGGGAAAAGAGAGTTTGTTTGTTTGTTGACTGACCCATTACTGAAGTATCAGGATGGTTTAACAATACAAAATGTAAAAATAGAAAACACAGCGTCCTAAAAATTCTACTAACAATAAAACCCCAATTAAAACAATCAGGTCTAAAAACATTGGGAAAATGAAAAGAGGTTGGCCTGGCGCTGAAAAGAATAAAGTGACGCACCAGGTGAACCTCTCTGGGGAATGAATTCCACAATCGGGGTGCCACTGCAGAGAAGGTCCTTCTCCAGGTAGTCACCCTCCTAATCTCCTTCAGGGAGGGCACCCGGAGCAGGGCGTCTGCCCCAGATCTTAAGAATGAGGAGCTAGATCAGTGATACTAACACAGCCAAAGCTTGAGTGTCAAGTCAGCTGCTTTCAGCTGTACATCTCCAAGCAAGAGGACACACAGAAAGCTCAGATTTGCACAAAATACGCAAATGCTGACCTGTCTGCATAGAAATATCTACTGCTGTAACTTGCACAGATTTAGGAATAATTAAATGGAATCATGGAGGGGGGAAAGAGCACACCTTTCCTGTCCAGCTGCTGCTCACGGTGCCGTCCACGTGAGAAGTTGGACCCCCGACTTCCCTTCCCTGCGGCTCTTCGTCTTCGTGCCCTTGTCTTTGCACTGGGCAGCCATGCAAAGAGAGGATCGGCTTGTGTAAAGGAACGCACACCCACGCCCCCGGCAAGCTTGTGCCCCGTGGAGGGGCTCCCCCTTGGGTAGCTGGTTGACCCCTGCGGGAAGGAGGTACATGCTATGGGGAGGCCGCGGCCTGACCCACACAAGGACAAGGCCAGGACGGGATGGCCTAGCGGGGAACAAAGGCAGCGTTTCAGGCGCAGCGCACCGCAGCGCACCGAGGGGGAGCACAAACACAGGCCGCAAGGGGTGCGAGCAGCACTGGCGAAAACCGTGCAGTGCCGCGTGTGGACAGGCCTCTCCAGGCAGAGGGCCGGGTGCGAGCGCGGCCTCAGGTTCTCCTCCTCTACTCGCCTGCACCACGTGGCACCACCTGGCCGGCACGTGCTCGGCGCGCCCTGCTCCGCCCCCCCCGGCGCAGGTGAGAGCTGTTAATCACAGGTCGGTGTGTGTTTTCAAATGGCAACCCGTCTTTTAATGAAGCCCATGGGGAAGTGATGGGGAATGTGCCTGTGATTATCAGGAAGCTTTCCATGGATCAGTTATCTGTTAGTTGATCAGACACATTTTTTTAGGATCAGTGTATATTTGAACAGCATTACCTTCGTGTATGAAGTTTATTCTTCAAAGGCTACTTAGTCCGCTGTGTGTTTGATTTACCGTACAATATCTCATTTTTTGTCAGAAGTTTTTTTCTATTATTTACTAGTAGGGCAGCGTGGACATTACTGGCTTTTTTAGATTTGTTGTTGAATTGTCTGCAGCAGCTCTTGTATAACTGGTGTACATTGTGGATTCCTTCAATAATTCCACTACTGACTAAGAAAGTGATGTCAGTGATTGTGAGCAGCAGAGCTGCAAAAATTCTGACTCTAGTGATGATGAGTTCTATGGGTTCAACGAAAACTAGAAGAGCACTCGAACTTTAAAGTCTCTCTTTTGTTAATGACAGTGATGATGGTTCTCAATGCCACTCTTGACTGCTGTTCACTTTACAAGGTTGAAATACAGTATTACTGTATTCTGTTATGGTTTATTAAATAGTTTAGTAAACCATTTGATTCAGAATATTTTTTTCTTGTTTTCCTCCTCTAAAAACTAGGTGCGTCTTATGGTCAGGTGCGTCTTACAGAGCGAAAAATACGGTATTTGCCTGTGAGATGCTGTGAGTTTCGACTCAGAGAAGAGCAGAATGTGCCCTACACACACACACGCACCCCTCTGACAAGATGTGTCTCTTGTGTCTTCCCCCAAGAAAAGAAGCAGCACCCAGAACATCTTTCATGACGACAACATCCTGGCATCCGTGCTTGACCTTGTCATGGCCGGGACGGAGACGACGGCCACCACACTTCAGTGGGCCATTCTCCTGATGATGAAGTACCCCGACATTCAACGTAAGTAGGCAGAGGCGTCCGGCACCATTGCATTCTGATTTGGATTATGGAGCTTGGCCTGCCGGGCATCCCGTGGAAACGGCACTGGTAGCCGCTCGGCAGCCACGCAACCAGGAGCGTCGTCTAGTACCATCTGAATGTGGGCTGCAACCCCCCCCGGCCCAGGTCATGGCTGGGTTTTGCCCTTTTCCAGTCCCCACAGCTTGCAGCTGTTCAGTCGTTCTCCACAGAACTCACAGGGGGCCATGAAGAACACGGCCGGCCTGTGCCGGCACCGTTCTAGTGGCCCTCTCGGAGGTTCCCCTTGAACCCTGCCATAAAACACGCGTGGCCACACGGCGCAGGGCCTGCACAGGCGAGGCAGGGAATGGAGAGCGCAGCCACCCAGGTGTGGCTCAATTGCCTCCCTTCTCAGCCCAAGCCTTTCTGATCAGATGGGCTTTTCCTGGCAAAAGGCTTTCCCGATCCTGACAAACTTTCACGGGACGCGGCACGAGCCGGGCACACGACACACTTGCTCCATCACCCAGCCAAGCCCTGACCTCTCTTCGTCCCTGGACTGAACCCGAGGTGCTGAAAAGCTTTGGAAGCGGAGGGAGCGCCTCACGGGGGGATCGCTCCCCGCCCACTCGTCCTTCGAAGCAGCTACTCCCACCATGCAAAGCACGTGTGTGAACCAGGCCTTCGAAAGAGGGTCGGGGCACCGAAAATGGGGTCCGGCTCTTCTTTGGTGACCTCTGCCAGAGCCTTCCCATTGCAGGCAAAGTGCAGGAGGAAATCCAGGGAGTCCTTGGCTCGGAGCGCCTCCCCACCGCGGAGGACAGGAGGCGCATGCCCTTCGCCAATGCGGTCGCCCACGAGGTGCAGCGGTTCGCCTCCATCGTCCTCCAGTTCCCGCGCCGCACCGCTGTGGATACGCACTTCCGTGGCTACTTCATTCCCAAGGTAGGAGGGGTGCCCCCTGTGGGGAGTGCTTACCTGGAAAGGTGTGTGTTTATTGGAAGACCTGCCTCACCCTTCCCGTTTCCCCCGACTCGTGCGGGACCAAGAAGCAACTGACGACGAGGTTTGCGCTGAGCTGAAGTGTGTTACAAACTGGCAAAACTGTTCCTGGCTGGGTTTTTGTCTCACTCCTACGTTTTTTTCCGTGCGTTTTTCTCTGCCCTCCTTAGGAGTCACGGGAAATGGACCTCCTCCCTCCCTCCCTCCCTCCCTCCCTCCCTCCCTCTCTCTTAGCGGCTCCTAGTTTTGCCACCCACCGCTGCTTCTCGGTTTGCCTCCCAGGGGACCACGGTGATCCCTTCCCTCACCTCCGTGATGTTCGACAAGACGCAGTGGGAGACCCCCCACCAGTTCAACCCTGGCCACTTTCTGGACTCCGCAGGAAACTTTGTGAAGAGAGACGCGTTCCTGCCTTTTTCAACAGGTAACCTGGTTTTTTTCGAAGGACGAGCAACTCAGGCATGAGCCAGGCCTGTTTGTGCCACGGGGGCGGGGGGGGTGGCCAGGGGTCTGATGCCCGAGACGGGAGGGCACCTGGGAAGGCCGCTTGAGCCCCTGCAGCGAGTGGAGGCTGACGGGGAGACGGGGCCCTCGGGTCAGGCCCGGCTCGCAGGGATCAGCGCTGTACGCGCTCCTCTCCTTGGGGTGTGAAGCGGGCCCTCGCTAAGGAAAGGGCCATGTTGCCGCCGCGAGCGAGCCGTGCGCTGGGGCTGTTGCAGGACGCAGGAGCTGCATCGGGGAGAGCCTGGCCAAGATGGAATTGTTCCTGTTCTTCGTCGGACTGCTCCAGAGGTTCACGTTCCGGCCCCCACCCGGGACGGCAGAGGCGGACCTGCAGCTCACCGTGCGAGCTGCCTTCACGCGGCGCCCGCAGCCGTACTCGGCCTCCGCCGAGCCCCGGGAATAGTGCCTGGGGCCAGGCCGGAGGGCTCCCCTCGCTCACTCCACCAGCTGAGGCTCGGGGGGCGCCTGCCCGAGACAAAGGGGCCTTCCTGCGCACCAGGGGACCCCTGGAATCCGCTCCAGCGGCTCCCCCCCGCCAAGCCCCCCGGGGCCCGTGACGTGCCACTGCACTTGCGTGCCAGCCGGCACAACGAGCGGCCACCCGGCCTCCATGCCCAGCCCCCACACCTGAGACCACCTGCCCACCGCAGGCCCCTGCTCCAGGCTGCTTTCCCGTGAAGCCTCTGGCCTGGCCACGGCGGCTCCTGTGGGGCTGCCCCGTTTCGGGCTGCCGCTGGGGGATGCCCCGCACCTCGGGGTGGGCATGCCCTGAAGGACGGATCCAGCCCAGCACCTTTCCTCCGGATGATCAGGATCTTTTGGCGAAGTGGCGAGAAGCCTTCGGCTTTCAGATCCGCCCAGTGTCTCCACCTGTCCTGTGAAGAACCAGGCCTGCGTCAGTCTCGACAAGCAGCGGATCCCTCCAGCAGCAACGAAGTCTAATTTACTCCTGCCACTGGGCTTCCTTGCTGACCCACCTGCCCCTCCCTGCCGTCCCTCCCACCCCAACTTAAATTTGGTTTGTAAGCATGTTGGGGCAGAGACCTGTTTTCAGAAAACTTTTCCACCCTGAAGTGCACCTCCCACAGTTCTTTTGGATCCAATGAAAATATAACATGAGTTAAGTACTCATAATGCTAACGGTGACGGTGATTAGATAGTGACACTATCCTAAGCATAACAATTCTGACCCTTCCAGGTCCTCTGAAAACATCTGGGGACCTACCACATCTGGGTACTTCCCTCTTACTCAGGGAACGATCTTTGCTCATGTTTCTCTGCAAAGGGCTGCGTAGAGTCACCGAGGCTCCGAACCGAGGGTCGCACCCCGCTTTTCCGGTGCGTGTTCGGCACACGGGGGGCTGCCGTTCCCTTAGCTCAGGCTCATGGCTCACTTGTGTGTGCTTGGCTGCCAGGAGGCCGGCCCGGGGGGAGCCTGGCAGAGAGAGCTCGCTCCCCATCCCCTGCCCCCTGATACTCGCAAGCGGAGATGCTGTGGGGTGGACTCTCTGGACTGCAGGAGGAGAGGACGCTCCCAGCTGGGCCCTGTGATCTGGCCTGGCAAAGCTGCATTCACTGCTTGAATCTTGCACTGGGGTTGCACTGAACAAAGATGATTATGGAACGGATTATTTTGCTTTCTTAAAAGAGGCGCATGCTTTTATCTGTGCCCGGGCTGATGACTGTCTGTTGTTGCACTTCAGACATACACGCATAGGCAAAATCCATATATTTAGTTGGGCTCCTTTAGGGTTAGGTCTGTGCACCCGTCAGCTTTGTGTTCCTCAAACGAGAAACTCCTTTGCAAAACCGTATTTGAAACGGAGGGGTACTTCAAAAGCAGATTAGGACATGACGTTTGGGTGGGTGGCTCAAAGAAAAAAAAAAACCCACCTGCAGAATCTGAAAAGGGGGGGAGAAAAGCGTCAGACACAGACCTGGAACCGCAGGCCAATCTAAGAGCTGCACTGCCATCTAGAGGCCAAACTCTTGCCTTGCAGCTCTTTCCAGCGCCCTCGTGGTGCCGTCATTGGCCCTCCGAATAGGAGATCTTCCAAACGGCCCGCAAATGTGTTGCCAGGAGCATCTCCCGCAGGTGGTGTTCCGGCCGTTTGCTTGGAGATCTTCACAGGGAGAGAGTCGATCCACGCTAGGGAATTTGCCCTCTCGTATCTCGTGCTTTTGAGCCCACAAGGGCTTCGCCTCCCGTTGCCCCCCCCCCCCCCCCCCCCCCCCCCCCCCCTTTCTCCCTGGGAGCCCTTCCCTGGCCAGGCATCCCTTTGAAGATGCAGAGAGAGAGAGAGAGAGACTTCAGAGCACAGGAAGATGAGCATATGGAAAAGCGGGCATTTCTTTGCTCCTCCCTGTGATCCCGAGCCCTGGGTCTTCTCAGAACTCAGCACCACCCCTGCTGGAGAGGTCTGAGGGCTGCAGTGCAGGCGCGTCACTTCCCCAGTACAGGGGTGTCTTCGTGGGGGGCCACAAACCTCTTTCTCCCCTGCGCCAGCCTCACCTGTTTCACACTGCTGCCCCCTAGTGGCTACATGAAGCCCCAGCAGCACATTTGCCGGTGTTGCCTTCTGCCGGGACCTGCTTTGTCTCAGCCCGGCTGGGTCAGCGGAACACGCCGACGACACTTGGCAAGTACGGGCGGCTGCGGAATCCTTTCTGAACGCTTTGCCAGATCGATACCTCACTGAGCGGAAAGCTAGATTGTCTCGGAAGGGAGTGTCGCCCTTGCGTCTTCCCTGAACGCATGGCAGCGGGCTGTGTGTCCTGCTGTAAAGAGGACCGTCCTTGTGCTGAAGAGCTGTCCAGCCCGAGCTCAGCCTAAAGATGAAGAATGCCAAGAAGGGAGAGCAGAGCAGGGGCCTTAAAGCTGCCCGCCAGCAGGTAGCAGCCCCGGCCCAGCAGGTGACCAAGCTGCAATCCCCACGCCCGGGTGAGGAAGCACAGTGGCGGCTTCCAGATTCGCAGCCCCACGCTGAAAGCGACACAGACGGGCTGTGCGCACAAGAGTGGCTTCTCAGTGATGCATCGTCTTGACTTCCATTCTGCGCAAAGCCAGCTCCGTTTGCTTACAGGAGGGGCAATTCACGCCTGGCGCTTTGCAGCGGTCGGTCCGCCCGCTGGAGGCAGGTGCAGGGGCGCCTGCTGCGCCGTAAGGACTGCACATTGCGGGCGCCAATAGCAAGCCGCTTACCTGCAGGAGGTCCGGTGTGAGGCCCGCCACCTCCGTTTTGCGCAGCGTTTACCTGCGCAGTGCCCCACCAGCTCCCCGTGGGGAATCCACGAGCAGGACAGAAATGCAACAACACCGTGTTCCGCAGCCGCCGGTGCTCCTAGGCATCCGCCCCCTGAGACGGGAGGGAGCATCCAGCCGTCAGGACCAGTGGCTGCTGAAAGGCTTGCACTCCATGAATGTGTCCCTTCCTTGTTCAAGCCATGCAAGGTGGTCGCTGCATCTCACGGAAGTGAGGTCTGTATTTTATGTGCTGGGTGAAGGGCAGCTGCGGAGGTTCCCCTTGGGTATCCTGCATCTAGCCGATGCCGCTGTTCGTGACTACAGAGCAGGGATTTGCAAAAAGAAAATCAACAGAATTGCACAGAGAACTGGTCAACGGAAACCCAAATGATACTCATAGAAACAGAGAAGCTGAGCAAGCCAGAAGGGTCCTCCCGGGCCATCTAGTCTGGCCCCCGACTCCCCTCACGGGTGGGGCCTCACTGATGGGGCACCCTGAACACCCTCACTGACAGGGTTTCAACCACCTCCCGGGGAAGCCCATTCCACACCCTCGGGATCCTGACTGTCAGGAAGTGCTTCCTGGCATCCAAATGGAACCTGGGTTCCCTGAGCTTTGCTCTGTTGGAGTGTGTCCTGCCTTCCTCTGCAGGGGAGAACAGGTCTCTACCCACCTCCGTGTGACACCCCCTCACGTACCTGCATGTGGCCAACAGATACCCCCTGAGTCTCCTCCAGGCTGAAGAGGCCCAGTCCCCTCAGTCCCGCCTCGTACGGCTTCCCCTGCGATCCAGCCACCTTCCTTGTGGCCCCATGCTGCACTGACTCCAGCCTGGCCACATCCTTCCTGCAATGTGTAGCCCAGAACTCATATTTTACAGCTCAGAGATGCTGAGGCCGAGCAACGAGCCAATAAGCACACCCCCCATGCTTGCTTACTGTTCATAAGCTGCTAAGAGGTGGATACCCTGGCTGGGCTGCCGCACAAACCCCCCAGAGGCCTGCTGGTCTGCCTGCTCCTGCTTCACGAGGCGCCGAGAGGAGCGTCACCTTCAACCCGTGGCACGGCTGCTCGCTGCATTCGCTCTCGCAGCGCCTGGTGCCCGAGGACGGGGGACGTGCTGGAGCGCCCATCTCGTGCTCCTGCTGGCCTTCGGGACCTTGGGAGGTGATGGGAGGAGTTGCGGGTAGAACGGATTGCCCAGTGAGTGGAATATCCCCCCCACCCATCTAAGTCCCCTGTCGGTCTTGCAATTCCTCTCTGTGTGTTTCCTGTTTGAAAAAGGAAAAGCTGAGCATTTGAAACTTAAATGAAAAAGGGGGAAAGCTGGCAGGAAGCTTGTCTCAAGTAACGGAGACGGGAACCAGCGGCGATGCCTGATGGAAGGTTTGGCCCAGTGGGATGCAAGTCTGTTTTAGAGGCCACATTGCTGAGGTTAAGCTGGGTTTGTGCCACGGGTCACGTTTATCTTCTCTGCCCGTTCTTCACGTTCGCTGGGGAATCGGGAGCGGTGTGATTGGCACCAGCTCTGATTTTATAAGCAGGAGAGAAGATGCAGTGCTGAGTTAGGTGGATCTAATGTGGATGCTTAGACTCGTTTTTAGATGAGGGTGCGCTTTGTACATTTATGTAGCTGCATATACTTGGTCTTTATAATGCATTTCTTTAAAAAGTATTACTCCTTGTAAACCGCCCAGAGAGTTTTGGTTATCAGCCAGTCTAGAAAGCGTATGCATTAAAAGGCTTAGGCAGATTTGCACGTTCCTATGAAGGCAGGGCTCTTTGCCGTCCGCTTTGCAAGCCGATCTCGTGCGTCTCCTCTCAGCTTTCCGGCCACACCAAGCAGCGTGAGGAGCAGATAAGCCGTTCCTCCCACTGTTTGACTAAGTCAGGTGCTCCGCATTCCAGGATAACATTATTAGCTGGGGAACTCGCCAGGGCAAAATCGCTTGTCGCTGCGGGTCTCCCACACACACACGTTCCCAAGAGCAGCAGGTTAATAATAATCCACCTTTAACACCATAAGTCAGAATGATTCCTCAGCGCACGGCATGCTGGGAAGTGCCCTTGGGAGATGCCAAAGGGCATCCCGTTTGGCACCGGTTCCCAGTGGTCCAGGCTCCGGGCCCTTTGGTTTGTTTTATTATTTGTTTTATTAATGTACCACTTATTCTATTTTAATGCAAATAGATGTAATTCAGAAATGCATAAATGCTCTTTTTAATAGAGTTGCATGGTCAGTCTTGTCATTGCCCATGCTGTCATGTAACTCATTCCGATTTTTCCCCACTCTGAAGGATTAATTTCGCTCCTGAAGACCAAAGAAAGCTGTTTGTTTATCTATGGCTCTTTTCTGCATCCTTCAGCCAAGAGGCATCAAGAGCACTTTCCGAAATAAGAGGGAATCTGCCCTCAGGCTCACAACTTAACGAGGCATGGCACAAAAGGAAGGGGGGTGGGGAGGGAGGAGGAAGAAAGCAGAATTCCAGCACTGCATTCAGTTCAACCCAGCAGGCCGTGGAGCTGCATTTTAACAGTGGAGGGGTTGCTGCTTCCACTCCCTCTGCAGCAGCGGTTGGAGAGAGCGGGGGTTTCAATCCAGGCACGAAGGCGGGGGGCACACAGTGGCTTCCTCCCCCTCTGATGGCGGGCCGTATGTGTCTGGCCTTTCTCAGCCAGGCACTGCTTTAAAGAGGCCGACTAACAGCTGCCCAAGAAAAGGAAGGCTCTCTGCTGAATTGCCAGGTGCCCCGGCGAGTCCACACCTCCCAGAGAATACGGAGAGGAGAGGAAAAGGGCAACCCCAGGCCTGAGTCGGGGGTTTTTAAATTATCCCAGCGATGTGTTCCTTGCCTTCCGGGACCAAGCCCCCACTAGCAGCAGACACGAAATGAAAGGAAACTAAGATGGAATTATTGGGACCCCCAGTGCCTTTAAATAGAAGGGTGGGCTGGGGATCCTCTTGCCTATTGCTAGAGTCGTGAACTGGCAATTTATCCTTTACTATTATTTTTATTTTTATTTTTATTATTATTAGAACATTTCTATGCCGCCCCTTGCTGAAGCCTCGGGGCGGCTTACAACACAATACAATACAATACAATACAATACAATACAAAAAACAATATAAAATTAAAATAATATAAAATAAATAAAAAATATAAATGATATAAAAGAAGTTATAAAAGAAAAGAAGAGAAGTTGGGGGGGGGGGAGTCCTGGCATGGCTGGGAAGACACCTAATGACGGGTCAGGGCAGGAGACTCAGAGGCGGCACTGCTGCCGGGGTAATCGAGGGCTGGATTTGGCCCCCTGCCTGAGGCTCCGGCATGGGCAACGCACTGCCCAGCGGCTCCTGTGCTGGGCAATCGCAGACCCCTCCCCACTAGGTGAGGCCAACGCAACGCAGGCGCCTCTGCAGGCC